GACCAGGGTCTCATCAAAGTCATTAATTAGGGCTCCTTTATACGTTCTAAGAAAAATATGCATCTTTCAGTTGTACTTTTAAACACCTGTGTGGTGCACACACATCCTTGCTTGTGGATGCATACACTATCCATCACAGTCACATATAATCAAAAGTGTCAGAACTCACTAGTACAGAATTCTCCAGTTAATTTCTTAACATTCAAAGCACCTTGACTTGATTTTGAAAGGCACATGTAAAGGGTGACAACTAGACATTCATCAACAAAACTGAGAAATGTTTAGGACCAAATACCTGAAGTGAACATAGGCAGGGCCTAAAACCAAGCAGGAAGATTGCAGACCAAAACAAAACTAACAAAAATATAACACACTACAACAACAAAATAACCTCTAGCCAGGCACAGCGGTGACACCTGTAATCCCAGCTGCTTGAGAGGCTGACAGGAGGATCCTACATTCTAAGCCAGCCTGGGCAACTTACTGAGACCCTGTCTAAAAATTAAAGGGGGGGGGGCACTGGGAATATAACTAAGCACTCACCTGGCATGTAGGAGGGYTCAATCTCTGCACCAGCACTACCACCAACAAAATCCCTCACAGTGGAGTTTCAGTTTAGGGAAATAGAAATCACTCCKGTTTCTTATCCAACACACTGAAATGGCCAGGGAGCAGAGTTCCTTGAAGAATTCCAGGCCCTGGCTTCCCAAACGGGTTTGCACAAAGGTTACTGGGGATTCTTTCCAATGTAGACTCCATAGGTCTGGGCCGGCTAGAGAGTCTGCCTATCTAACCTATCTTGAAAGCCTGTGGATGCTCCGGGTCTGCTGCCAGGAACCCAGCCCTGTCCCCTGTGASCAGCCTGTGTCACTGCTGTCCTGTCATCCTTGCCTCTTCCCTTGCCCTTGAGCCTCCATTCCCAGGAGTTTCTTAGAGCAGTGGTCAGGATTTCCCTCTTTGTGCAGTTTCACATGCAAAGTCTTTCTCTAGGAAAAGAGGTGAAAAGCTGAATCTCTAAGTGAATTTGGTTTTGATTTTGGTTTTGGTTTTGGCAATAATGACGTGCTCTTGATTGTGCTGCTTTAGAAATGGGCCTCAGCTTAGCCAAACGTGTGGCTTGAACTGCCAGAGCAATATTTCCAGAGGGTCCCCTGAGAGTTGGACTGTGCACAGGGCAGAGGCTTATCTTTGCCTTGAAAGGGAATGTGTGGGAAACTCACCCCAACCCTCACAGACATTGGTCAGTTGCTACCCAGGGCCTGTCCTGGGGATGACTGGTCTTTGGTGAAATAATTTAATGCACATATTGTTAAGAATTCAGTTTCATAATGGAAAAAGCTATTCTTTTGAGGGATTCGAGAGTTGTTATAAAAGATTTCTCCTTTTAGAACTAAGCATGGTAAAGCCCCAAAAGTTTAATTSGGCCTTGAATTAAAATTAAGATGAGGGGTTGGGGTTGTGACTCAGTGGTAGAGCGCTTGCCTCACACACCTGAGGCACTGGGTTTGATCCTTACCACCACATAAAAATAAATAAATAAAATAAAGATATTGTGTCCATCTACGACTAAAAAATATTTTAAAAAATTAAGATGAGACCAAAGACCACCAACTTCTGAGCAGGATCCAGATGCCTTGGAGAATTTAGAGCCCGGAGTCAACAAATTACCTTATTAGATAAAGTAGGTTGAGTCTGGATGTGTTAGCTGTCATTCATCTTAAATTGAATCTTTTTTGTGCCTCGTCATCCTAAAGTGGACAGCCTTTCTTAAGTTTTTACTAGGTAAATAAGTAATGAAAGATTTATTTTAATAGCTCCAAGGACTATTGACTTTTTGAGGCTGTGACTATTTGTCATAGGAAACTACTTGTTAAAATGTTTGCTGTGGGGAACGGTTTCTAAACTCTGTTGTAGAAGGTTGATTTATGCTGCGACCTTGGGTGCTGATCACCTCTCGGATCTGGTTCTGATTAATTTATACAGTTTAAATGGCTCTGCAAAGGGCCTCAGAGTCAGAACACAGCTAAAAGCATTGAGCAGTGTACAAAGGTTATTAAGCAAGTAAAATAAATAAATGTTGTTAAAAACTTTAAGACATGAAGCAGAATTCAGCTTTTCTTATTTTGTGAAACACACTCAGTTCTTTTGAAGTCTCCTTGACCCTTTCACCCTTTGTCTCTTCTACCTGATTCACAGATATCCATCTCTGTGGAACATTTTACCCTGAAACTCAGTGGCTTGAAGTAGCAAACCTGTTTCATCTCACATTTTCTGTGAGGAGTCTAGGTTCTTCTGCCCCTGAGTCTCCTAAGGCTGTTCCAGGGGGTCAGCCATGGCTCTGGTCTCATCTGACTCACTGCTCCACCTGTTGGCAGGATGCAGTTTCTGAGCTGTTGGCCCCAGGTGTCCTTGCCATGCTGGCCACTTCATAGGGCCATTTACAACATGACAGCTCATAACCTCCTGGGAGGGCAGAAGGAGGGAGATCATGGTCTTTCTCTAGCCTGCTTTGAAGGGACAGCCCATCACTGTATTCTGTTATGGGGAGCAGGTCATTAGGTCCACCCCATACTCAAGGGTTACATAAGGATGTGAATATCACCAGGTGGGATCTTTGGGGACCATTTTAGTCCCTCTGCCACACATGGTAAGGGTTGGATGAATGAGCAAACCCTTCAGTGGTGCCCATCTTGCCATCCTGTGCAACAAGACGTGCACATGTCAAACATTCCTCCTTCATACTGGGTCCCGTGCTGGTCTGTGGAACAGCCGTGCCCTTGGCTGTTGACTAGTGTGTTGATGCACGTGTGCCATTTATTCTATAAAATGCATACAAGTAATTTTGTTCACTTATTTTTAAGCTTCTGAAAAGGGAATTAAGAAGATAGTGGTAGGCTAAAGCCAGAGGTCCGCTCTGAGATAGCCATGGGAGGTGCCATGGAAGGTTCCATGAAAGGCTCTTTGTTACAGCTCAGTCTCCCCCTTCTGGAGGCTTTCCCTGTCCACTCACCCAAACCAGGCCTTACTGCTCTGAGTTCCCTGTTTAGCCCCAAGCTCTTCCTGCTTTCTCCCTGAATAGCCCCAAGCTGTTCCTGCAGCTTTCCTTGTTACTGGCTCTCTCCCAGGAGAACTGAGCTCAGTGAGAGCAGGGCCTCCTCTGTCCAGATCATCCATGTCTCACCAGCTCCTCACCTGGGGCCTGGCAAACAATAGGCTCTTGGTATACTACCATATATGTATGAATCAAACACAAGGTCATTAAATCATTCTAAGGAGCTTTTTGGAAGCCATACTATAGCTGTGACTTTCAAAGGGGATACCATTGGTTTAGGTAGCACGTAGACTACATTAGTTTATTTAAAAAAGAAAAAGAAAAACAGCATGAAGATCATGGACAGTTTTGTCCTAGCCTTTAAGGCCTAGTGGGACACTAGGAAAATCACACGGCTTCTCTGGGCCTCAGTTTCCTCAAAGGACAAGGGAGGGAACTATAAACCAAGGCTCCTCAGATGGAGCTATATCCCTGGATCATACCTGGGAAGTGTGGGTTCTGGTTTTCATGTCTTCAACATTGGTCTGCCACCTAAGATTTTGTTTGAAGAAGGACTCAGAAAAAAACACACACACACACACACACACACAAGAAAACAAGTTAAACTTTTGCATAGCTAGTGGCCACACCAGTTGTGTATAAGGATGGAGTTGTAGTGGCAGTTGTGGTGTATAAAGATGCAGACTCCAGATCCCCAAAGCTCTGGCCTAGCAGAACCAGTTTGAAAAGCAGTCCAGGTGATTTATGCTCGGGGCACCCAAGAGAGAACCCTTTCCAAGACCAGAGGTTGGTCAACCAGTAAAAATGCAAATAAGAGAAATGCAGTAGGGTGACTATGGATAACAGTAAGTAAGTAAGCTAGAAGAAGGGATTTTTGAACATTCTCACCGCAAAGAAATGATAAATGTTCAAGAAGATAGACCTGTTCCTTCTGATTTGAACATCTCATCCACAGAATATACTTACATCAAAACATCACCCAGCGCCTCATAAGCATGTACAACAGTTATGTCTCAATTAATAAAAAAATCTTAAAAGATGAAATGTTGTTAGGAGCCTATGTAAAGCATGGTGACAATTTCATAATAATGTATTATACTCAAAACTTGCTAAGAGAGTAAATCTTAGGTTTTCTCACCATCTAAACACAAAAGGAAGCTGAGGCGATGAATATGTTAATGAGTGATCCTGGTGATCTTTTCACAGTGTGTATGTGTGTCGAGTCATCAAGTTGAACATCTTAAATGTATACATTTTTCCCCCATCAATTTTACCTCAATAAAGCTGGGGGAAAAAAAATGTCAATCCCTTCCTTCCCCAAGCCCACCTCACGCCGTGATGATGGCTACCTCACACTACCTTTGAAATTTTAGCATTGATTTTTCTTCTTCTTTTTTTCACATTGACTTATTTCAAGATTTCATTTTTGGCACCACATTTCGCACCAGATAACCAGAGCTTCCAGAGCCAAGTTTGCTAATTAAAATTGTGTCACATCCCCAAAACAGCACAAATGGTGCCATTAAGCCTGGCAGAAAAGTATTTGCAAGCACTTTACCTAGTAATTTAAATATAATACTTCTGGAAGCATTCAGTTTAGGGTGTTTTCAATTCTAATGAGAACCCTGTTGCGGAGAGTCCACACGGCTGCTGTTGTGGTCTGTGCTTCCCTTTGGCTACTCAGCTCTTCAGCAAGCAGCTTGGTTGCATGGCTGCAGCAGTCCATGTGGCTTCCTGTGGCCTTTGGGAATCACCAGGTCTCAGGCATAATTAGTATAAATCAAAATTCTCTAGACTATGACAGGAAAATAGTATGTTTGAACAGCAGCTTATTAAAATGACCTATTTAATTTAAGAAAAATATCATACCCACTTGCATGGTAACCTGGATGCCTTCACTGACAGGTTTTATGCCATTTCTCTCCTGCCCCCTTTTCTTTTTTTTAAGAAAAGGAAAGAGAATGGAAAGGCCCATTCTACTTCATCCAGGGTGCGGACCCACAGTTTGGGCTGATGAAGGCCTGGTCCACTGGGAACTGCAACAGCAGCGGTGATGAGTGGGAGCAGGAGATCCGCCTCACTGAGCAAGCCGTTCAGGCCATCAACAGGCTGAACCCCAAGCCCAGATTCTTTGTTCTTTGTGGCGACCTCATCCACGCCATGCCAGGTAAGATGGGTCCTCGCTGGGACCATTTCACCTTCAGCCAATCATGACCACGTTCATGGGCAAGGAAAGAAATGATTTCCCCCCCAGAGGCATCTCTCTTTGGTAATGGCCCCTTCAAGATTGGTGCAGTATTACTGCACATCAGAAAAGGCACATTCATTTTATATTTAGAATTTGGTGAGGTTAATCACAGTAGTTAAACAGAGCTACTGTCCTGATGATCTGGGATTAATATGAAAAGTGGACCAGGCCCCCCTCACCTCCACCCCATGTCACTTTCCCAGATTTCTAGGGACAAACCTGAACTGTTTCCGTATTTCATATTCATAAATATAATCTGCTTTCTCTCCCCTCTTCTTACTCTTAACTTCTGTATTTGTTGGTGCTTTTTCAGTAGCAAATTAGGAAAATTTATTCTAAAGTAGTTTAAGTTGTTATTCTTGTCCACATTGTTTTTATGGGGCTGTAAAGTTCAGGGACAGATCTAGGCTTCGGATATAGCTGGATCTAGGGGCTCTAAGGTTGTTATCTGTGCTTGGTCTCACCATTGCCCAGCTCTGTTTTCTCTAAGTTGACTTCATTTGAATGGAGGTTCTCTCTACATAGTGGCTCTTGGGAGCTCTAGGTTTATACACTTTTTACAGAAATAACAGTGTGAAGTGCCCTATTTTTGGTGGTTCAGTCCAAGTTCCAGATCTCACTCATCTAGCTCACATGGCCCCAGGGTGTGYGGTCAGCTCCACTATAATCATGCAGTCTGAAGAACAGGATCGTTTCTCTAAAGACAACTAAAATGCTGGGAATGCAAAAACAGCAGTTGCCTTTCGGAGCTCCCCTCCCTTTTGTTTTATCTGTTCTAATATTATTCTCTCCCAGGCAGGGCTGAAGCCCAGTGAGCAAGTATAAGCAAGTAGAAAGTGTCCCTGCCCATCAGGGAGGCAGAGCTGGCTCCCAGGGCCTCTGCTCTTATCTGTGTCCCTATCTCTGCTTAGAGGAACAGAGATGACCTGAAGACCATGGCAAAAAACACAGCAGTGGTTGTGGACCCTCACTAAGGGCTAACTTTACCTTCTACYTGTACCCTGGGAATCTGAGTCCTGCCATGATCTTTTACTTCCCTAGAGTCCAGGGTACTCCACAGGAAGCCTGAGGCTGTTAATTTTTCTCCACCAAGGCCTACTTGACTGGTGGCCTCTGTCTCCAAACAAAAGCCAGAGTGAAGATGTAAGAATGAAAAATGGGCAACCAGAATTATTCTGCCTGGTATTCCAGGAGCACAGTCAGCAGGGAGAACTCTCAGACCTCCCCTCGTTCTCAATTTACTCATAGTTTGCATTAAGTCACGTGTGTATGTGCCCACATCATTGCCTGTACCAGGGAGAACCCAGTGCCCTTATCCCTGGGGAGGCACCATTGATGGACCCGATGAACACAAACCCTTCCCTCCTTAAGGCCTCAGTTTCTAAGCCAAGAACCCCCTGAAACAGCAAGAATTTGAAGCTTCCATCCATCTAGAGCCAATCTGGGACAGAAGCTTCATACCTCTGCGGCAGAGGTAAGCATCCCACTGGCTCTGTATAGAAACGTATTCATGAAGATGGTCCTGAGTTTGCAGAGAGGTAAAAATCTTAGCTGCTTGTAAACTTGGCCACCCTGGGCAATGCATGGCTGAGGGCTCACAGGTGCTGAAGTTGTGCAGTACCGAAGCAACTACTCTGCCCAGGCTTCTGAAGGAGTCGGAAATCACAGAGGACTGAGTAAAAGAAGATGAAATGTTAACGAATGGATTAGTGCTACTTCCAAATGGTCTGACTTGGGATTATGTGGCCGTATGTGCACATCAGCTTGTACTTTCAACCTGGACCACGTGTTGAACCAATTTCTGCTTCTTCTGCACACTTGAATATAAGATTCCAAGTTACATTTTCTGTCTAGTGATTTTTTTTCTTTAAAAACAGAATATTGTGAGACTCACTGGAATTACATTAACATGTTCTCATAGATGTTTACGGATTTGTTCTGATTTATGTTAATATATTCAGTCATATTTCAAAATCAGATTTAAAATAAAAGCTTTCCATGCAATTACATTGCTTCTTAAAAAGAATATATTGTGCATAAGTAAAATTCATACTTTTTATGATCAGTCCTACCACTTGGTCAGAAGACTTTGTAAATATGAACTGGCAAAGTTTTGAAGATGTCTTCTATATTCATTGTGACTAGAGCACAATTCATAGTTTCTTCTGAAGATTGGACTATTTTGTGGGGTTTTAACTGAGCCAGTGAGAGGACTCTTAACTGTTTTGAATATTGTGGTTTGAGATTAAACAGAACATTTTAAAACTACTAAACTACTTATCATTTTTTTAATGTGCAATAAGTGCCTTTCCTTTCATTTAGCTTGTACACAGGGCAAATAATTAGAAAAGTAATTATTGGTTTTGACTGCTTAGCACATTGTAAATTATCAAATGCATATATTCATAGGCAGCAAAAATCAAAAAGTATGCTTTTAACTCCACCATAAATAATATCTTGGACCTAGTAGATTCAAGTTCAAAATGAAGCAAAAAATCTTTCAGAATAATGTTTTTTTTTAAATGAAAGTCATAATATCTTTTCCATTATAAATATCCATCATAATATTCATTTCCCACAAATACTCATTGTGTGCAGAGAAGGTGCCGATTGCAATACTAGATGYTGTGGACCCAGTAGTGGCAGTGAGAGGCCAGGTCCTCCTTTGCAGCTTAGGAATGCAAAAATAGCAGTTGCCTTTTGGAGCTCCCCTCCCGAAGGGAAGTGCAGGGGCATGGATGATAAGGGGAGCTACTGCTACCAAAGCTCATAGGGAGAAGCCTGAGAAATGCAACCTTCTTCATTTTKAAAAAGCCCATTTTATTTTGAGCATGTGCTTTCATTCTACAGACATCTTTGGTGTTATCTAGGTATTTTCTTATTTTATGAAGCTTCTGTATGAGCTAAGCCATACAAAAAGTAGCATTTGTTCAAAAAAAGTAGATTTGTACAAAGAAAGAGCCCATTGATATTTAGTTCTTCAGTCTTAAGCCCAAGGTCACTTTGGTCAGCYTCCTGGTGTTGAGGCATTGACTCACTGCTAGTGTCCTCATGAACATTATTATTCAAGCAATTCCATGTGGAGCTGACAAACCAGAACATGTGGCACAGTGAGGGAGCAAGAGATTCCTGTGAGCCTAGACATTTGCTGCTAACACACATGTCCATTCCTGTTCATTAAAACTTGCTATAACCAACTAAAGAGCAGCGTGGGCAGATTCTTCCCTTCATGTAGTCTCCTTGAAGAGGTCTTTGTATACCAGCCTCCACTTTGGTAACTGGTCTGATTGAGTTTTGGGTGATGTTGTGGCCTCGGGAACTGCTCTGTTCTGCAGAGGGAGGCCAACCTGCAGTAGCTTACTCCAGTAGATGGTGTGTTATCTCCTGGAGCTGCTATAAACAGTTACCACAGAATCATTGGCTTGAAACAACACACATTTATTGTCATATCATCCAGGCAGCCGGAAGTCCAACCTGCAGAATCTGCAGGCTATGTTCCTCTGAGGGGTTCCAGCAACAGGAGGCCACCTGCACTCCGTGGCTCTCCTCAGAGCCTGCAGCCCTGCAGCTTTTCTCCTCTTTGACCTCTGCTCCATCCTCTCACACTGTCTTTATTGCTCTTACTGTCCACCCTCACTCCCGTAAAGACCCTAGTGATCATATTAGGCCCATCCAGATAGCACAGGATGATCTGTCCGTCTCAAGATCCCTGATCACACCTGCAAATTGACAAGTTCTGGGAATTTGCAAGTGTGTTGACAAGTTCTGGGAACTGGGATGTAGACCTCCTGGGGGCATCATTCAGTCCATCATAGGACAGGACGGGTGGAGCACAAGGTCTGTGTTGCTCACTCACCTACTCACAACAGTCTCCAAAGATGTCATTGTCGTTTGCATTTTAACTAGTGGGGAACCTGCTCAGAGCAGTGAAGTAGGGTCACTTGCTCCTTAAGTGGTGGACTCAAGTTCATCTATTTCCAAAGCTTATGCAGCCTCACTACTCAAAAGGTGGCCCCAGAGCAGTAGCAGCATCTAGAATATCAGCATCTTTATGAAATCCCAGGTAAATTTTGTGGATAATAAGATGTGAGAAGAACTTACTAGATTAAAATGTGTGGGCCCTATAGTTTTTGTTTTTCAGTGTATTATTTATAATTTCTGTATATATAGCAGTAGTGTATAAAAATTCCCTTTAGGTGAGAGTCATAGTGTTTTAGCAAGAGAAGCATCTTTCCTTTAGTCTTATGGTCAGTGTTCAAAAAAAGTACTTCTTAATTTGTAGACTTTGTTTTACTTCTTGAATAGTTTGAATAACTAAAACAGGATGCCCTCTCCTATAGAAAATGTCCATAGCAGAATGGTAGCAGAATATTCAGGAAAACAAGTACACATATATGATTWAAAAGATCTGTATGTGTAATGATCAGGGGAGCTAGAACTAGATCTTTGATTTGGGTCAGGTGCATGTACATAGTCCTTTATCTGCTATTCCAAAATTTGGAAAGCTATAAAAATTAAGATTTTTTTTTCTTAAATTTGAAACTAACTTGGTTGACAGTAAAACTGCTCTGAGTTGATAGGAGCCTGTTTATAGTCTTTATCTAGTAGAGAGAATATTCATATGTTTTGCTAGTAAAATATTTCTAGGTTCCATTACAGACTGCTGCCTGATCCTCTGCTTAAGGTGTTATTTAGTATACACTCTGGGCCCTATATTACCATTCCAGAGTTCAAAAACTCCAATTTCAAATGACATCTGGCCCAGAGCATTTTGGATAAGAATTTATGGATCTGCAGAATTGATACTTTGGAATTTTTAGATGAAGAAACCTTTCATCACGAGAAGCAGAGCCTTTTCCTCATTCTGATTTAATGCCATCCCCAAGTTTACTTCTGCATATCCACTGCACAGTGTTCAC